AAGGGCCTCGTTGTCAAGCAAGAAGCACTCGTCGGCATTCTCCACCAACTGGTGGAAAGACAATACCGCATTATATGGTTCCACGACTGTGTCGCTAACCTTTGGGGACGGAATGATACTGAACGTCTCCATGATCCTGTCGGGATATTCCTCTCTCACCTTGGAAATGAGCAACGTCCCCATGCCAGCTCCGGTACCGCCTCCGAGTGAGTGACACATTTGAAACCCTTGAAGGCAATCACATCCCTCTGCCTCCTTGCGGACCACATCCAACACGCTGTCGATCAATTCCGCGCCCTCCGTATAATGACCTTTTGCCCAATTATTCCCTGCGCCAGTCTGACCAAATCCGCCACCGCACTTGCAGCGATTGGTGTGTGTGTGTGTCGGGCCTTCGTTGTTCGATACTTTTGCGTCTTGCAAAACAAAAACCATGGCCCCCGACGCACTCAGCCCAACACGAAATCAGTTTCTTTTTCCACGTCCCTGTGGCCATGGCCTTCCCAGAAGAAAAGTGTTCCAAAAGCGGGGGTGCGGCTACTTAGGCACGCAGAATGGATCCCCCCGCCCCGTGGCACCAGCCTGGTCGTCCCGCACTTCTCATAATTTCTCCGATGAACTGCTACCCCAGAAGACTCATACACTTCCAGGCGGCAAGGGGGAATGCATCACCTCGCAGGTAGCTATGTTTGCACATGTTTCAAACGGGGTCGTCCTGCAAAGTTCTCGAAATAAAACTGGCAGGCTTATGTGTAACCATTGTGCTTCTGAGATAAACACACCAGGAATGTATGCGTCGGCGCGCGCACCACTGGTTTGTCCTTAGCCTGTGCGAGTTATGAAAGATATGTTGACCAGGGCATGTGAAGTCGTAGTTGGGATAGTACAAGCAGAAAAATAGTACTCGGAGTAGAGATACGAGGAAGATGCAAATAGTTATGACAGTATGAGCAGTCGTCGTCGCAGTGGTAGTAGTAGCGATAATGATAAAACTAATAATAGTAGTAGTAAAAATAGTAATAGTAATAGTAGTAGTAGTAGTAGTAGTAGTACTAGTAGTAGTAGTAGTAGTCGTAGTAGTAGTCGTAGTAGTAGTAGTAGTAGTAGTAATAGTCACCGTAGTCGTAGTCGTAGTAATAGTAATATCAGTAGCATTAGTAGTCGTACTGGTCGTATAAGTAGTAGTTGCTGTACTAGTATTAGTTGTGGTAGTAGTCGTAGTAGAAGTAGTAGTGCTCGTAGTCGTAGTAGTAGTAGTAGTAGTAGTAGTAGTAGTAGGAGTAGTCGTCGTTGTAGTACGGGTAGCAGTAGGAATAATAGTAGTAGTAAAAATAATATTAGATTATACAGGGGGTGAAAGTACCAGTAAGAGTACTAGTAGCAGTAGTTGTTGCCGTAGTAGTAGCAATCCAAACAAGAATAAGAATAGTAGTCGCTGCAGTAGTAGTTGTACTAGTCGGAGCCATCGTCGTCGTCGAAGTGATCGTGCTATGTGGTGGTAGCGGAAACTGTTGCCCTGTTCATGATCGTGGTGGTACCCGTAGTACTAATGGTGGTCGTCATCTTCGTAAGAACCGTAACAGTGTTATCTACACTAGTAGTAGTAGAAAAGAAGTGGTAGTGGTCGTAGAGATAGAAGTAGTAGTGGTGAACAGTATTAAGTACTAGTGGTGATAATAATAGTAGTTGTAGTGGTGGAAGTAGTAGTATGAGTTGTACCAGTAGTACTAGTACTATTCGCCGTAGCCGTATAAATCGAAGAAGTAGTAAAAGTAGCAGAAATAGTCGTCATCGTTTTCGCCGTCGTCGAAGTCTTAGGAGTAGTGGTCGTCGCGTCCTAGTCGCAGTCGTAGTCGTAGTCGTAGTAGTAGCAGTAGTAGTAGTGGCAACAGGAGTAGTAGTACGAGTAATAGGAAAAGACATGAAAAATAAAAATGAAGGTAGTAGTAGTAGTGGTAATACTATGAGTACCTGTCGTCGTAGTAGTAGCAGTAATACGAAGAGTAGTAGTAGTAGTAGTAGTAGCAGCAGCAGTAGTTGTCGCTGTAGTAGTAGTAGCAGCAGCAGCAGTGGTAGTGGTAGCTGTAATAGTAGGAGTCGTCGTCGTCATCGTCGCCGTCGAAGTCATCGTTATATGTGGTAGTAAATGGTAGCCCTAAATATGATCGTGGTAGTACAAGGAATACGCATGGTGGTCGTCGTATTTGGAATAATTGTAACAGTAGTAAACACAGTAGTAGTAGAAGGAAAAGAAGTAGTAGTCGTAGTAGTCGTAGCAGTAGAGGCAGTAGAAGTAGTACGTAGTAGTGGTAGCCGTAGTAGTAGTAGTAGTAGTAGTAGTAGTAGTGGTGAAAGTTAAAGTATGAGAAGTAGTAGTAGTAGTAGCAGCAGTAGTAATAGTAGTAGTAGTAGTAGTAGTAGTAGTAGTAGTAGTAGTAGTAGTAGTAGTAGTAGTAGTAGTATACACGTACAAATTAAAACTATTATTAGTCGTAGTCGTACGAATCGAAGGATGAGTAAGAGTAGTAGGAGTAGTAGTCGTAGTCGTAGTAGTAGTAGTCGTAGTCGTAGTAGTGGTAGTAGTAATAGCAGTAGTAGCAGTAGTAGTAGTAGTAGTAGTAGTAGTAGTAGTAGTAGTAGTAGTAGTAGTAGTAATAGTAGTACTAATAGTAATAGTAGTAGTAGTAGTAGTAGTAGTAGTAGTAGTAGTAGGAGTAGTAGTAGTAGTAGTAGTAGTAGGTGGTGGTAGTAGTAGTCGTAGTAGTCGTCGTAGTAGTAGTAGTAGCAGCAGTAGTAGTAGTTGTAGTCGTAGTAGTAATATTAGTAGTAGTATGCACGTAAGAAAAAAAACTATTATTAGTCGTAGTCGTACAAATCCAAGGAGGAGTAAGAGTAGTAGGAGTAGTAGTCGTAGTCGTAGTAGTAGTAGTCGTAGTCGTAGTAGTGGAAGTAGTAATAGCAGTAGTAGCAGTAGTAGTAGTAGTAGTAGTAGTAGTAGTAGTAGTAGTAGTAGTAGTAGTAGTAATAGTAGGTGTAGTAGGTGGTGGTGGTGGTAGTAGTAGTAGTAGTAGTAGTCGCCGTAGTAGTAGTAGTAGTCGTAGTAGTAGTAGTAGCAGCAGCAGTAGTAGTAGTAGTAATAGTAGTAGTAGTAGTAGTAGTAATAGTAGCAGTAGTAGTAATAGTAGTAGTAGTAGTAGTAGTACCCCGAGAGGCCCCCAAGGGATCCCAACCAACATCCAACAGGCTTTATGCTCTCAACCCAAGCACGGTGGCGGGATGGGCCGAAGGCCATGAGATCCGCCGCCCCCTGTCGATTCATCGCAGGGGTGCCTGGCGTGCCGAACTATTTGGGTTTGGGTTTTGGTTCTTTTTCCAAAAGAACTCCCCCTGGGGCTTCGGCCCGTCCCGCCGGCCACCCGCAAGGATGCCGAAAATTTGCCCGGACCCCGTTGCAAAGGGTTTTTCCGTTCCAGACGGTCCCAAAAATCGTCCAAGATGGCCTCCAAGACGCCTCCAAGAGGGCCAAGATGGCCTCCAAGACGGCTGAGATGGCCCCAAGATGCCTCCAAGACGGTCCAAGGTGCACCCAAGACGCCCTAAGATGGCCTCAAGATGGCCCAAAACGACCCAAGAGGTTCCCAAGAGGCGTCCAAGACGGCCCAGGAGGCCTCCAAGAGGTCCTCCAGGAAGGCCCGAAGAGGCCAAAATCAGTGATTGTCGTTAGGTTTTTGAAGGATTTTGGAATTTGCGCCTTTTCGGCTTTCCGACGGCCCAAGACGGCCCAAGAGGCCCCCAAGGTCGCCCCAAGATCGCCCAAGAGGCCTCCAAGATGGCCCCATGACGGCCCAAGAGGCCCCCAAGACGGCCCCAAGAGGGCCCCAAGAGGGCCCCAAAAGGGGCCAAGAGGCATCCAAGACGCCCAAGATGGCCTCTAAGACGGCCCCGAAGCGCCCCAAGAGGGCCCCAAGTCGGCCAAGGGAGGCCCCCAAGACGACTCCTGACGGCGTCAGACGTGCCAGGAGCCCACCAAGACGGCCGAAGACGGCCTTAAGATGGCCCAAGACGGCCCAAGAGGCCTCCAAGAGGGCCTCCAGGAAGGCCCGAAAAGGCCAAAATCATTTATTTCCCTAAGAGTTTTTGAAGGATTGTGGCATTGGCTTTTTTTTCGGCCTTCCGACGACCCGAGACGGCCCAAGTGCCCCCAAAGATCGCCCAAGACGGCCCCAAGAGGCCCCCAAGACGGCCCAAGAGGCCTCCAAAACGCTCAAGACGGCCTCCAAGACGGCCCAAGAGCCCTCCAAGACGTCCTCCAAGAAGGCCCGAAAGGGTCAAAATGGCCTCCAGACGGCCAAGATGACCTTCAATATGCTCACGTGTTCCCCGAAGGCTTTCCAAACCGATTCGGGGAACACATGGTCCGATAGCCTGGCAGATCTGGCCTCAACCTTCGGCCAAATAGGCAGGGGGCGGCGGTGATTCGCCGCAGGCGTCTTCGATACGCCGCCCCCTGTCGATTCATCGCAGGGGTGCCTGGCGTGCTAGACCCTTTCGGTTTTGGTTTTGCTTCTTTTTTCCGAAATAACTCCCCCTGGGGCTTCGGCCCGTCCCGCCGGCCACCCAGAAAGATCTTCCAAATTGCCCAGAGATGGTTGCCAAAGATTTGTCCTGCTCCAGACGGCTCCAAGACGGCCCAAGATGGCCTCCAAGACGCCTCCAAGACGGCCAACATGGCCTCCAAGACGGCTCAGATGGCCCCAAGATGCCTCCAAGATGGCCCAAAATGCCTCCAAGACGGCCTAAGGTAGCCTCAAAATGGTTCAAGACGGCCCAAGAGGCCCCCAAGAGCCCCCCCAAGACGCCTCCAAGAGGTCCTCCAGGAGGGGCCGAAGAGGCCAAAATCATTGATTTTCGTTAGGTTTTTGAAGGATTTTGGAATTTGCGCCTTTTCGGCTTTCCGACGGCCCAAGACGGCCCAAGAGGCCCCCAAGATCGCCCCAAGATCGCCCAAGAGGCCTCCAAGAAGGCCCCATGACGGCCCAAGAGGCCCCCAAGACGGCCCCAAGAGGGCCCCAAGACGGCCCAAGAGCCCTCCAAGACGCCCAAGACGGCCTCCAAGACGGCCCCGAAGCGCCCCAAGAGGGCCCCAAGCCGGTTCAGAGAGGCCCCCAAGACGGCTCCCGACGGCGTTAGATGGGCCAGGAACGCCCTAAGACGGCCAAAGAGGCCCCCCCGAGAAGTCCCAAAAAGGCCCCAAGAGGCCCTCAAGAGGCTCCAAGAGAGCCCAAGATAGCACCAACATGGCCTCCAAGACAGTCCCAAGATGGCCCAATCGAGCCCAAGAGTGCCTCAAGAGCCTCCGAAGAAGCATCCTCCCCCTTCTCCTTTTTCCTCCTTCTCCTCCTCTTCCTCTTCCTCCCCCACGTGTTCCCCAAAGGCCTTCCAAACCGATTCGGGGAACACATGATCCGATAGCTTCGCCCCCCAAGATTCCTCCAAGACTGCCCAAGCTGCCTCCAAGACGGCCTAACATGGCGTCAATATTACCCAAGACGGCCCAAGAGGCCCCGAAGAAGCCTCCAAGACGGCCCAAGAGGCCTCCAAGAGGTCATCCAGGAGGACCAGAAGAGACCAAAATCAGTCATTTTCCCTAAGTGTTTGAAGGATGTTGAGAGGCCTCCTCCTCCCTTCTCCTTCTTCCTCCCTCTCCTCCCCTTCCTCCTTCCCCACCATGTTCCCCGAACGATTTCCAAACCGATTTGGGGAACACATGGTCCGATAGCTTGGCAGGCCTCTGGCCACAACGTTCGGCCACATAGGCGCTTCCGAAAGGGCAGGGGGCGGCGGTGATTCGCCATAGGCGTGTTCGATAATCCATCCTTTCCACATGCATCTTGTCATCCTCCTACGCCGCCTCCTCCTCCTCCTCCGCCTCCTCCTCCTCCCCACCTCATCGACTTCCTCCTCCTCCACTCCCCTTCGACAATCACCTTGTCGTCTTCGGCAACCGAATGTCACCCCTGTGTCTCATTCACTTCAGCTTTGTGCAACATATGTGGCGCAAACTGCGTGACTCGATCTGTGTGGTGCAATGTGTGTGTTGTGCCATGCCTTGCTTACCTTGCAACGCTGCAGCCTTGCTACATAGCTTCCCCAAGCGCGGTGACCGATATGCGCGGCAGCGCAACTGGATACGAAGTTGTCCGGACGGAAAAGCTGGCCAAAAGGTCCAGCACGGACGCTGTCCATGGTGCCTGGCTCCAAATCCATCAACACGGCGCGCGGTACATAACGGCCCCCTGTGGCCTCATTGTAGTAGACGTTGATGCGCTCGAGCTGGAGGTCGGAATCTCCATGATAGGTGCCTGTAGGATCTATACCATGTTCATCAGAAATGACTTCCCAGAACTTTGCCTGCGGGTCCCAAGAATATACACCACCACCACCACGTCGATTCCTTCTCCCTTCTCTACCCGCCTCTTGCTCTCCTCTTTCCTGGGAGAGGGATGGGGTGAAGGAGCTGGTGGTGATGTGTATTATTGGGCCCCGTATGGCCCCGATCTGGTTGCCGCACTGGCCACCCTGGATGTGCACCAACTCGCGCATGGCTGCTTATCGGAGGAAGCTGACTTCCGATTGTTCGGATGACTTCAGGCGTAGAACACTCGCTCGGGCCAAAATGAATATAGCCACAGCATTGGCAAAAATAAGAAGGATAACAATAATAATAATAATAATGAGAGTGGATTCAAAAAGATGGTGCCAGTGCGTAGAACAAAACATTGAACATGCGCAACCCGCAGGGCAAAATACGGGGTGCCGTCGACGCAATGCAATCCATTCGGTCGAACTGGGGGCGCCAGCTCCAATGATCGAACGAACATCCCACCCACCCACCAGCAACAGATAAAACTCCAGAGAGCGTGGGCGATGCTACTCATCAGGGCTGGCTCGCAAATCTCAAAAAGCGCAGTACCATCCGGACCCTGCTCATGAAGATCCGTGAAGCGGGCGGGCGATGGCTCATGGTGACGACGACACCAGCGACAGAGACGATATTGATGATGGTGACGGTGGTAGCGAGGATGACGAAGGCGACAACAACGACAATGACGATGGCGATGATGAGGAGGACTTCGCTTTGATGATGATGGCGATGACCACTGACGTGGTCCAGCGCTTGACGATGACGATAACGAATGGGACGACGCAGATGGTGACAGCGTGCGGGCGGACAGAAATTATGAATGCTTAGCAAGCTTGTAACTGAAGCCCGCGGAATGTTCAGATCCTGTTGCAGAACTCACTCTCTATCAAGCCCCTACCACAAAAATTGGTTTTGGAGGGAGCTCGACGTGCGCGCGCGGAGACGCGCGCGCGCGTGGCCCGTGTGGGAGTTAACAATGTTGGAGGGCACGCGATGGCATGTAAACGCGTTCAATAAGTGCTCGCGCGTCGACTGCATGATGCAATTCGCCACAATGGGAAAATGGTTCCCTTCACATGTCAACGGGCGCGCACAGAAATATGTCAGAGTTATTTCTTGTCCGTAACGAATGGCGTATTCTAGTATTCGATGAACTTGTTTTGTATGTTCTGGTGGATGTTTGAAAGGATTCGGCACGCGGGCGCGGCGGCGCGCGCATGTGGCCATCATGGTGTGTGTTGCGAAGGGCCCTTCGAGAAACGACTTGTTCGATCAACGCTCGTGCACCACTGGATTCTTTGACAGAAGTGAAAGGGGGGTCGGTAGTGGGCCTGGCTGGCATAAAAGAAGCGCTGTCCAATACTACTTGTGAAACTCAGGGCATGTCGTATACCAACAAATCATCCGCCACCGTGCCTTCAGCACGCAGCGGAGTACCTCAAGGCTCATGCAGCTTTTAAAGGTCATGCATCTCTGAAAGGTTCGTAAGGTTCGTAAGGGCCCAGACCACGAAAGTCCCGGGCGCTCTTGGGCACGGCAAGGCGCTCTGAGAGTATTCCGCAAAGACATTTAAGACGGTGCCCCCAGCCAGGGACGCCCCAAAACAGGCCAAGACAGCCCTAAGATGGTCCCAGGAGGATCCAAAAGGCCTCCGAACGAACGAACGAGCGAAGCTGACGTCGCAGGGAAACCGGCGTCCCGGCAAAGGGGGGCAGGCGCGATGGTCGCGCGCGTGCCTTCCAAGAAGGCCACTGGATGTGTGATTGCGCCAAAACCAAATGAAACACGAAACATGTGCACGAGAAGCCGCGCGGTCATCTCCATGCGCGCTGCAGAACATCCCGATCATTCTCCTGCCAGGCACTATCACTCGATGCCTCGTGCGCCCACGAGTCCCAGCCAGCATGTTCTGTATGTGACACCAACTCATTTTCCCATCTGCTGAACCAGCCAGGCCGGGAGCGAATTGGGCATCCGAGTGTCCCCTTTGCTTGTTCGTCCCGCAAGGCATGATCCCTCCATTGAGTCACACATTTGGCCAATCGTGCATCTGGCATGTTGATAATATTCCCTGTCAACTTCCACTTTGATGTTAAATACTTGTCCACCCAACATGAAACTCCGACGTTGCAGCTGACCAGCGGGCACTCCTGTCCAGATAACTGTACCTTCTCGTTTGGGGGGGCAAAATTCCAGCACGAAATGAAATGATGAAAAACAAAAACAAACAACAACAACAAAAACTGGGCTCCTATGGGGGAAAAGATGGCCCTTTGCAGATATGAGAGAGCATGATCCACCGCCGCTTTAGCAGAAATTCCCCCCCCCCTTCCTCCGGAACCCAGGGGTCCCTACCCCCCACTCCGAACCCCCCGCCTGCTCGAACCCCCCGTCCTCACCCCCCCATTCCCCTGGCACCCCCCTCCCTCTAACCCCCCCCCCCTCCCCCTTCTCTGGAAAACCGGGGGGGGTCCTTACCGGTTCGAACCCCCATTTCTTTCTCCAGAAAACCGGAGGGGGGGTCACTACCTGTTCGACCCCCCCCCGCCGCCGGCAAAAGACTCCCGGGTCCCCGGGTCCCCACCACCGTCCTCACCACCGCCCTCACCACTGTCCCCACCACCACCGTTCCCACCACTGTCCCCACTGTTCCCACCATTGTCCCCACTGTCCCCACCGATGCCCCCACCACGTTGTGGATCCGCCCGCACCTTCCTGGGCAGGTCGAGGGGCTCCCGCCCGTGACCACCTTCCCCCCCAGTGGCCCTGGAGACCCGCAGGAGCACGAACGCTGCCTCTTGGAAGCTTACTCGAGCCCATGTCTCGGGGTATCTGTGCGAAGCCTCCAGGGGCCTACTGACAGCGTTTTCAGGGACCCCTTGGGGGCGTCTGGGGTCCTCTTTGGTTGTCTTCTCTGCAGGCGCGATGGCAAGGTGACAGGGGCACGAGGCGGTCAAGCAATTCGGCCACCCCGAGCCTAGATGTGTTGTACAAGTGAATAGCCTCAGGTCGGCGTGGAAAATACGCCGATCTGCTGCGTGCAAGCACGCAAGTCTTTGGAGAAGGTCGTGGAAGCACGCCGTTCTCAACGAGAGTGCGACTCCTCGGTTCCCTCGTGCAGCTGCTCAGTAGCAGCCTGCTCAGAACTCGTCGCCGTAGCCCTCTTCCTCGCCCTCACCCTCTGCGGTCTCGATGCCCACCTCCTCGTAGTCCTTCTCCAGCGCCGCCAGGTCCTCGCGAGCCTCGGAGAACTCGCCCTCCTCCATACCCTCGCCCACATACCAGTGCACGAACGCGCGCTTCGAGTACATGAGGTCGAACTTGTGGTCGATGCGCGAGAAGACCTCTGCGATGGCGGTGGAGTTGCTGATCATGCAGCAGGCGCGCATGACTTTGGCCAGGTCGCCACCAGGGACTACTGTGGGAGGCTGATAGTTGATGCCGCACTTGAAGCCCGTGGGGCACCAATCAACGAATTGAATGGTGCGCTTGGTCTTTATAGTAGCTACAGCAGCGTTCACATCTTTGGGCACTACGTCTCCGCGGTACATCATACAGCATGCCATGTACTTGCCATGACGAGGGTCGCACTTCACGAACATGGATGCGGGCTCGAAGACGGACATGGTGATCTCCGCCACTGACAGCTGTTCATGGTACGCCTTCTCCGCAGAGATAACGGGTGCATAGCTGGAGAGCATGAAGTGGATGCGTGGATAGGGCACCAAGTTCGTCTGGAACTCGGTGATGTCCACGTTCAGCGCACCGTCGAAGCGCAACGACGCAGTCAGCGAGGAGATGATCTGCGCCAGCAGCCTGTTCAGGTTGGTGTAAGTAGGGCGCTCGATGTCAAGGTTGCGGCGGCATATATCGTACAGTGCCTCGTTGTCATACATGATGGTGACATCTGTGTGCTCCAGGAGGGAATGCACGCAGAGAACAGTGTTGTAGGGCTCCACCACTGCCGTGGCGACCTGCGGGCACGCCCACACAGTGAAAGAGCACTTCGTCTTCTTCCCGTAGTCCACAGACAAGCGCTCCAGCATCAGGCAACCGAGCCCGGAGCCAGTGCCTCCGCCGACGGCATTGTAGATCATGAAGCCCTGGAGGCCAGTGCAGTTGTCGGCCAACTTCCTGATCCGATCCAGGACGAGGTCGACGATCTCCTTGCCGATGGTGTAGTGCCCTCGCGCGAAGTTGTTCGCGGCGTCCTCCTTGCCAGAGATGAGCTGCTCAGGGTGGAACAGCTGACGGTAGGTACCCGTGCGTACTTCATCGACCACGGTGGGCTCTAGGTCGACCATCACACAGCGGGGGACGTGCTTGCCGGCGCCAGTCTCGGAGAAGAACGTGTTGAAGGCATCGTCGCCGCCTCCGATCGTCTTATCAGAGGGCATCTGGCCGTCAGGCTGGATACCGTGCTCAAGGCAGAAAAGCTCCCAGCATGCATTGCCAATCTGCACACCCGCCTGCCCAATGTGGATGCAGATCGCCTCACGCATTGTGTTGGATGGGCTTCTTGATCGAGTTGAAGTCTGGCAGGGGGTGACAACTCACAAAGCCGCCGCGTGATGTGACAGCCTCGATCGGAACCGCTTGAGCCAAAATGGCGACGGAGGGACGTCTGGGGGCCTCTTGGGGTCCCTTCGCGCTTCTTCGGGGCCTGTTGGGGGCCTCCTGGCAGTCTCGGTGCCTGTCTTGGCGTTCTCTTGGACCCCTCTGGGCCATCATGGAAGTCTCTGAGGCAATCTTGGGGGCTTTCTGGGCTGTCCCTGGGCTCTCTCTGGGCTTCTTCGGGCCCTCTTGGGGGCTTCTGGTCATTTTGGAGCGGTGGGAACTCGAAAGGCAAGGACGTCAAATCTTCCAAAAACATGAGGGAAGTCCGTGTCGAGCTCTCGGATCAAGGCAACTCGTCGGGACATCCTTTCTGGATGGGCTGGTGGGGTTACGCGAAGCGACAACAACAGCAACAACAACAACAACAACAGCAACAACAGCAACAACAACAACAACAACAGCAGCAACAACAACAACAACAAGGCAAAACAACCGGCTGGTGGACCCGGTGAGGGTCCACCAGCTCGCTGTTTCGCTCCTTGTGGCGAAACATCTCACTGGTGGACCCGGACCCCCCTCACCCCCCCCACCCGGCAACGCAACGCAACGCAACGCAACGCAA